TCTTGGTTTATTATTCAAAAGCGAATTTGACTTGTTTATTTATAATTTCAGTTTTTAACCTGAGTTAATTTATTGTAGGGTTCAAATGGTTTAATGGAGTGGAGTGCAACTTGTCTCCTCAGAAATGTAAGCACAGTTGCACTGCCGTTTGAAGCTATTACCAACAAGTCCTCCAACTCATACGACCAAATAGGTCGATTGTTCAAGCGCTTATTACGACCTATAACCACTTTTTAAAGTTATCCTCTAGTGCTCCCGTTGACTGAAAACGCTCCAGAGGGTCGTATATTCACAAATAACCCTCTCTGGAAAATCCTAAATTGTAGAATAGTTTGGCCATTAAAATGCTTTTTGATTAGATTTCTAGCGAGAAGTGTATATTGTACTTTTAAAATCTACGTCCAGTGGATGTGTAGGATCTATAGTTTGATATTACGAAGATTATTTGAGGTCTCGCCAGGAGAACGTGTATATACTACGTCTTTCCCCCTATTCATTTCTATTGACGGCAGCGTCCATGTAAAGTTGGCGTCAACCCTCACGGGGTGAAAACAGTATTTCCGGTCTCGAAGTTTTCATAATAAAACCGGAAGTGTTCCCCTAACTGTGAAATTATTTTACAGTGATATCTGCAGTACTCATCCACTAAAAAACATCAGTTTATCCTTGTTAAGTACACAACATTGATTGGTTTAAATGGTGTACAATGCTTTTGTGTTTTTCCCCTTCGATTCGGAGAAACAAATAGTTTTTTCTGAGTTTAGGATGGCCGAAGACACTACACTACCCATAATCCAATTTTGTATGTACTCTTAATATTTAAATTTTTTCATCAAATATTCAACAAAAAAATTCAAATACGTGCTTTAACCACTAGGTGGTGCGGGTTAAAAAACGGTCAAGTTTACAGTGTTAACTGAACCCCATCCCCCCGGTACCGGGGGAAAAACGCATCACCTGCAAGCAAAAGTGTCTGAGGGCTTCTGAATATTTAATAAACTATGAATGTCCATAACGGGAAGAAACTCAGCTAACTGATTAATTATTTATTTTTTTGTCACAAAGCTAACGCTGAGCCTCTGAATTAGCCACGAGCGAAAAAATGCTAACTGCGGTTGCACAGAAACTCACTCATAACACCCTTATTACTTATCGTAGCTGCACATCCAACATATCAACTAGCATCGTGAGAAGACACAGAATCGATTGGTACCTACATCATCACTCCATGATAAGAACTTGTGACTTTATAAACAAAAACAGACATCACAACGCATGGCGCTACAACAACGGCAATATCTCTTACCTTCATTGTTGTCTGATCAAAAGTTGTCTTCAATGGCATTCAAATGATAAAAACGCTGCTGAATGTTAATCCATAGGTTAATCCAATGTGTCTGTGTCACTTTGAAATGATTTATGATCATCCATAAGCAATAAACCTACTTTTCCATTTTCAGATCAGAGCGTGGGGCAAAACTGCATGCCCCCACTTTTTTTTGTTAACGTGTGGTGTGTATGTGGAAACCCCCCTTCGAGTCTGTTGGCTCTAACGGTTAAAAAGAGATGTCGATCACCAAAATCGACCAATGGGTTCCAGAGAAACGGCAAAAACGGCCATTTCCACCCAAATCACCCCAGAGGTGGTGTTTTTGTTGCTAAACCTCTCTAAAAAGGTCAAATGTCCCTTGTTTTGCATCAATCTTGATACAGGGTACTTATTATATGTTGTACTTTGGATTCCTAAAGCTTTTAGTCTACCATACCATCATCCAAGGGTAGTTTTCACTATAAGTAAACAATTATTTTTGGACGGACACTATAATTTACAGTTTTTTACCATGTTCAATCTGAATTTTCTTTAAAATAAAAAAACATCTATATTGATTCTGACTTTTCTACATCCAACTCACAGGTTTATCATTACTTTGAGAACAAAGATTATTAATTTTCCCCTTTTAGAAGGGAAGATATGGTCATTTGTTCTGGAAATGTAATTTTCGAGCCTGAGACCTGAAAAACAGGCTTGGGGTCTAACAGGATAAATTATGCTTTCCAGTATAAGTTTCCAGTTTAGTTTATGACGGATGTAGTTTGTTATCCACACATATATTGTTTTGATATTTGTAACACCAAACCGACAGAAAATATGGTCTTAACATGACCCAGTGGTCTAGTTAATAAAACATAATAATATCAAACATAATATTACTATTAACTTTATTGTGAAATTAAAACAGAACTGTAAAGAAAAATACAGTTTCAGTCTCTCGATTTGAAGCTTATGCATTGTACCATGAACCTGTATATAGACCTGTAACAGTCAACTGCGGTGAGGAGTTGGAAAGGTAGTTTCTGAAGATGTTACAAATAACACACAGCATACAATGCCATAATAACTTTGTATTATTAGTGTAGGACACTTGTGTATGTATAACATCTGAAGATGTGTAGTTTTATTCATGTTTTCACATAATTTTACAGGATATTGCTATATTATTTCACATATTGTAGTTCTACACATTAATATCTGATTTGTAAAACATCACAGACAGAAAGGTATATCCGTCATTTAATGGTAAGCTATTGAAATTCTGAATCCATAGATGTGTCTCCCATTACCCAAACGTTGCTCTTTATACCTGCATAAGGAGGATCCACAGCCCTGGAATGTAAGTATACAGTGCATTCACAGAACTGTTGGTATCAATAAGGTCATAGTGTGTACTTCAAGGTTCTTTAGCTTTTTTACCCTTCTAGTTTTGTAATACAGACAGGAGCAAAGTAATAAACTGCTGTGAACGAGAGGAAAACTTTTAGCAGACACCTTAAATAAAAAAGGTCACATTATGAAAATGTATGTATGGCTTTATTAAGAAATGTGTCAGCTATGCAGTCTATGTTTCCAACGAGAATCTGAAGCTATCATTTAGTACATGCTCTCGCCAAAGCCACTCATAACTTGGTCATTGTGTTTTTGCTAATAAAAAACAAATACTTATTTTATTATTTTAGGTTTGGTTTTTTAAGGTCTTTGTACAAATGGGTTATAGCCTACTTGGTATTTATTGATTCATTCATTAAATGTAGTTTTTTTGTTTAAATGTCATGTGTTGTTTGATGGCCATGGTTGTAAGATCATTTGAATTGCTCTTGTAAGAAATCAGGCCATACTTTTTACATCAAGCACTCAGATGCTCAGCTCCGGGTTCCCTTGTAACTATGTGTTTGAGATGTAGAGATCACACTCATGTACGGATGTGTCTTAAAGGTAACCAACAAGTTGCCAAACTCTTGTGAGATGGTAAGGTTTGGATTGTGGGGGGGGCAAGTCTTGCAAGAGTTTTGGCCACATTTTCGCAATTTGTCGGTTACTTTCTGACACGGCCCTCATACAGCCACAAATACATCCACAGACACATACACACTCACTCACCCACACACACTCAGGAGGTGATCCAGATACAGCTACATCAGAAGTGTCCAATATTGCTTTGCTTGGAGGTTTTTTTTGTAAACAGTTTCTACAAAGATTTAGGTATTCTGTACTTATCGGATTTGATAATGTGCTAGCGTTTTTATTTTCATATATTTTACACTTTAAAACAGGATGTGACAAATGCATTTAACATAAAAAGAGACCTTGTGTAAGTATTATTTGTTATAACAGGCTGCATTGGATTATTCTTCATCCCATGTTGCATCATAAACACATTATGGCTTTTCCTGAAAGAAATCAGTGCACAGTCTCTTCATTGTTTAATGGGAGTCTACTGTACCTCAATAAATAATGCATCAGTTTAAGTTGTCACATATGAAAACACGTATAGAAAGTGGGATTTGTAAGATACTGCCACATGCTTGACCCATACATCCTGAAAACCACACACAAAGGTGACTTTATGTAAGTGCCAAAACAACATGAATTTAGCAATCTCAAAGAGATTGCTAAATTCTTTCAAATGTTTACAAATAGATTCAATAAACCACATCAAGGTCACAACTATCTTTGCTGCTTGTATACAACTTGTACACAGGACACAGTCATTCACCAATTGAAGTATTTTATTTGCTGTGTCTGTTATTGAGGGATCTCCGCTGCAGCAGTTCTCTCCTGTGAAGTGAAAGATGTTTGACAGGTCAGTGGAGTAGAGGTGTTCGGAGAGCAGCCGCTGACATCACAGGGAACCACATCTGAGAGTCCACACCATGCAGGAGAGGCACATTTCATTTCAGACTGATGCCTTGATAATTAGATAATAATTAAGATTAGTTATGTTGTGGTTGAAACATTGACAGTGAAAAAATCAGAGGTGGAATGAAACTAAGTACATTTACTCAAGTACTGTATTTTAGCAAACATTTGAGGTTATATATATTCAAGTCTGTTGCCACTTTATTCTTCTCCTCCACATTAATAAACAACAATAATTGTATTGAATGTAATGTATTTGCAAAGATTTAACTAACAACATATAAATGACAAAAAAATAGCTTTACTTTTAATCGCAAAACTGCTTGTTGATGAGATAATAAGATAAATATGGGCAAGTTTTTATTTATTAAAAAATAATTCTGCACTTTTGCATTTTTTACATTTTACATTTCATACTTTTAATGAACCTTTGCTAATACAATTAACATTTCAATGCAGGCTTTTGTGGCAGATTACTTTCACAATGCGCAATTCTTACTTTTATTTAGGCTAATTAAAGCGTCCGAATATGCCTTTTCAAATGATCATGTATAATATATTATATCAAATATTCTTTCAAATTTAGGAAAGGTAAAGAAGACTTACCGTTTGACTTGATTACAACAGGCTACTGGCTAAACTTTGATGCAGATGTATTGGATGCAGACGAAAAAATATATATAAATAAATTAAATATGAATATATTTCTGTTCAACTGCAATACCTTTATACTGAGTGTCACACAAAACATCCAATTAAAGAAAGTATACACATATGGCAATCATGGACTCACGGACAATTAAGAAAACCTCAAACACGTTTTTTAATATTTTTAAATTAAATGTATTCAAAAACCAACAACTTAATGGACAGGAGAAAAATGTTGTGCTCATAGACAATATCACTTGTAAACAAACGTATACAACACTTCTCCACTGAAATGTGAAATATCATACTTTACACTTTACACTAGGCTATAACTGCAATCCATACAATTTCCTTTCTCTAGAAATAATTCCTTAAATAAAACTGGGCTGCTGCTGCTTCTCTCAGAGCAGCGTGCCTCGGCAAGAAAGTGCAAATTTAAGTACAGTGTGTTATTAATGAGGCTGCAGGGATCCGTTAATAAAGCCATGATCATAAACTGGATTATATGAATCAATATGCATCGGTTTTGTTGAACTGAAATGCCCATTGCTGTTTTTAAAGTGCAACTGACAGTTTAGAAGGGGATGTGGGAATGATTTTTTAATTGTATAAAAATAATCATATTTGTGCAGCTCATTCGTGAATATCCGGGGTGATGGAATGTGTTTTTATTTTTGGATTAGGTCTTTCGATAAATTAACCCAGATGTCCTTTCTCAAGGGGCGACAAACAACAAAAATATTCTTTTTTTTACACAAATAAAAATGATATCTAAGTTAAGTCATTTAGTCTCATATTCAGCCTTGATTTGTCTATTTTCTTAAAGCAACTGACACTGTCTAATGTCGGATCTTTGTTCTTGTTTAGTGTAGTGTTTCTTTAGAATTGTTAGCATTTTTTCAACGCAGCAAAATACATTTAACCAACTGCATGGAGAAAAATTAAAGCAAAATATATTATAGTCATTTGAAACAAACAAAAATGTCTGCAGCCCCACTGGCAGACTGTGTTTTACGCATGGTTAAGAAAGCGTGCCAGAACCCAAGGCCACAGGTTATTTGGCACAAAGAAAACATGTTGCATTGTCCAAGAGATAGACAAAGAAAATGTTACCTGCCCCAAATCTGTGACTAACAAAATAAATATGTGTTTTCTCTCTCGAATATGTCATGATGAAACACCAAACAGAAAGTCAAAGATTAGAAGATTTAGGCCTTTGGGTAAAAAACAAATCTAGATTCAGCACAAGACTAAATGACATTGTGTACATAATTTAAAGTCACTGATCAGTGTCTCTGGCCCTGAACGCATCTCAGTCAGTGTTTTTGCTCGACTCTTCCTGGTCGCTCTGGTCGTCGGTGAAGCACACGTCCACGTCGCTGTCATTGTCGCTCTTTTGCTCTGCGTCCTCGAACAGGCCTCCCGGTTTGTCCTCCAGTTTCTTCACGGTCTGCCCGGGGTGTCTGGACTTCACGTGCCTCTCCAAGTCGCGTCTGCGCACCAGCACCTTGCCGCAAAATTCGCACCTGTATGGCGTGTTTCCCTCTGCGTGCAGCCGGATGTGCTTGTTCAGGTTGCTTGGGTCTCCGAAGGGCCTGAAGCACACTTTGCACTTAAGCGGCTTGTAACCTGTGTGAGTCCTCATGTGGATTTTCAGGCCGTATTTCCTGGAGTACAGCTTGCCGCAGTACAGACACAGGTGTCCCTTTTTCGGCTTGCCTGACCCGGCGTTGCTCGCGGTTCCTGTGGGCATTGAGTCCAGCCTCGTCCGGTTCTTATCCGCCGCAATTTCAGACAGCTGTTGCGTGTGCATGGCGATCTCCCGGTCGATGTTTGCGATTGAGCCCAGGTCGTGGTTCAATGAGGGCGCACCGAAGTAGGACATGGACTCCGGGTACTTGAGGAGGTTGCTGAAGTGGAATTTGAGAGGATAGTATGGCGAGCTGTACAGAAGCTCTCCGTTATACACAGTGAGGGGCATTAGGGGGATGTTGCAGTCTCCACCGTATGTCTTGACCCCATCAAAGTGAGGGAGAGAGAACCTCTCAAAATGCAGTCCAGGGGGCATCTGGGGGTAGCGGGAAGGGGACAGGCCGGGATGCATACGGCTCTCTACGTGCTTAAAAGCTGACGTCTCCTCTACGTGAGGCAGCAGCGGGAAACCCCGGATGGCGTTTGTACATGGCACCATTTGAGATGAGGAGTCCATGATTGCAGGTGTGCACTTGGGAGGGTGGCTGCCTCCTCCGTTTAGAGTCTCGCCAACATTGCGGATTGGTTTCATGTTTCCAATTAGCTTGCCGAACCCCAGGCTGCTCAGCTTCGCGTTTGCTTCCTCTCTGGATGCGTCCGCGCCCGGGACTTTGGAGACTCCGGTGGGTTTGAAGGCAGAGCGCACACCCGGATGGAAGCCCATGCTGCTCAACATTGAGGATGTAGCCCCAAGGCCAAGGATGTGTCCTTGGTTTCTGGCTGAGGTAACGCTCATGTCGAGGGCTCTGTCCTGCTCCTCTGTGCTGCTTTTCTTCGACAGTCCAACTTTTTGCAGAAACGGCGATGAGGACACAGCCCGCCTGCCAGAGTCTGAGATGGAGGAGTTACTGTGGCCGCTCCTCGGGGAGGTGGAAGTGTTCGGGATATCTCCAGACTTTGGTGACCTGGTGAAGGTCTCCGTGCCTCTGGCCTGCTCGCTGCTCAAAAAGCCCCGCCCGTTGCTCAGGGTGCAGTGGAAGTGGACGTGGGCCTTGAGTGTGTTGGGGTACTTGAATATTCGCCAACAGTACCAGCAGATGTAACGCTCCTCACCTGAAGAGACAGAGAGAGAACATGACATTAATTATCAGTTGGACAAGGATCATTAAGTCACACAACACAGCGTGAAGACAGATAATTCCCTGCCAAATTACAAAATATTCCCGTGCGTAAAAGGGCATGTCCGTGCGTAAAACGAGCATAACAGGTTTTTAAACCTGTGGAGAAATACCTGTAAACTGCTACACAGACAAATGCCCCCTCCCCTCTTCCCCTCACAGCACACGAACATATATTGAACAGGGGTTGTGATAAAATGTAAAAACTAATATTTGAGATAAATGGGCCTCGAGATTAAATGGATAGATTGTCAAAATTAAGCTTTGTAAAAATAAAAAAACATAAATGTTTCCTTAAAAATACATGGCCCTTTTAAAAAGAAGCATTTTCTGTTAATGTAAGGATAATGGACATGAGCCGGTTTCTAAGATCCGGTGCCAAATGGTAATTTGACACAGGAGGCCGTTTAAGTGAGTCGAGCACTCCGAGGTTAATATAGATGTAATGATTTTGTAATCCTCATGCGGGTCATTGTTTATGGCCGCCATCAAAAGAGCAAACGCCCTGCCCAATCTGGCGCTCAGAACCCATGCATTGAATGCGGGACTTTCTCTCTCTGTGCGCTTTCCCGTGGAAGTGACAGCAGCTGTTGCTTGAAATCGCAAGTCTCCAGAAACAATGGCGGCGGCCCATCTGTTGACGCCTAATAATGGGAGAGAGCGTATGTCCAGGAGAGCACACGGTGATGGGCCGGAGAATCAAGGCAATATACACCCCATATAAAAGTTAGTATTCATTAAGGCACAATACCTTGACGCACCCACCTAATTTGCCGTGAAGCACTTGTTTTTGAGTTTATTTGCTTTTGAATACATGAATATTAATGACGCGATGACATTTGTTAACCTCCGTCTCGCAACTGAATCAACAGCCTCTTCTTTTTCCAGGGACGACCAGACTCGTTAGTTTGTGATTTTAATTGCTTTTTTATTGGGTTTAAGCACCGTAATTACTTTATCACAATTATTATTATTTTTATCTCGACGTACATTTGATATAATTTGAAGCTTCGACGTTTCGCTTTTACAGTAATTCAAGTAGTTAAGAGGCCCTTCCAGGTCAACACGAAACGTATAATCAAAAATCATCTTCACTTAATGGAATCCCAGCAAAGTGTCTGTTGTTTATAATCTTTTTTTAATCGGATTAGTTCCTGTTCAGCCATGGTGTTTTGCCAAGATTAACGAATAATCCCCAAGCGCAACCGCCAAACTATCATTACCAGCCCAAACACGGATTAAAATTCCTAACTATTTTTGAAAGCAGTTGATCAGTGTTAATTTAAAGCTGCGTATATGCGTTAATTATGCTTTATTCCCTGTATTGTATAATATTATTGCAATCGGATTATTTTTGCCTATACACAATATTGAAGGCTCGCCGCACATGATTAAAAGCTATCACTATCCGATCAAATCCTTGCTTCTGTAGGCCTGAACCAATATTTGCATCCCTTTATTCAAACGAATTATATGTTTTCACCAAAAGGCAATTTTCCAATTGATTTAATATTCTTTAAATGGTAGAAGTCGTTGTGTGTTTTTTTTATTCTACTATAAACAAATTAACAACAACAAATAGTCTGCCTGAGGAAAAGACAACATGCAATCGATTTCCATCTCTGTGCGATAACGGACAGACATTATTGGTATTGGCAGTCATTTAGCTGTGCAGTGATGCCCCCCCCCCCCCCCCCCCCCCCCCTCCACATGTCGATGTTGTGTCAGACCTCGGTGAAGTCATGCCCACACTTTGAAGGATAAGCAATAAAAAAAACATTTACCTAAAAGTTTCTGTGATATTTGGAATCATTGTTATTGCATCTTAAATCCCCAGTGCTGCCATTCAGTTACCCCCCTGATATACCCCTATAAATCAGAGCTAGTAGGATCATGTTTTCCTTAAATTCCCATTATTTAAATCCCAGACTATAGCCCCCTCCCAGGTCATTATTAGCATTCTGATTTACCTTTTTCGTCGTGCGTTGGAGTAGCAGTGGTCGGGATGTCGTACCACTGGGCCAGAGCGTTGGAGTACCAAACACTGAGCTCCTCTCCTGAAGGGATTTCTCTCAGCACACGGTAAAAGATCTACAAACAGAAAGTGGGAAGAGGAGAGGGAGTTAACGGAAGTGTCCAAAAGGCGAGGGAGGGAGGGGGGAATCCGGTATTGTCATTAAAGTGTGATGAGAATTTAGATAGTATTTACCTGTCCGCCAGGTAAGTCTGAAACCGCCTCCAGGTTCTGCTCTGGGCTGTTCCTGGCTGCACGGATCAGTCCGATCCAGTCTGGCACGGGACAGCCCGATTCATCCACGAACTCCCCGCGAACCAAGCGAACCTAAGCCATAAAAACAAAACGCTAAATACACAGTTTGATAGGAGAATATGAACACCGAGGCCCTTTCAAATGTCCCCTCGAAGACAAACCGACACAACTTAAAATGAATACATAAAACTACAGCATTTAAAACAAATGTTCCCTTTTTGATTTTTTTTTTGCAGGTTTTTATTTCCCATTATCATTCCCCGTTTTTCTTTATTTTGTTATTTCATAGTTCATTTTAACGATTTTTTTCACCAGCTCTTCTGCTATATTACCTGAAGGACTGCGGCCACGCCTGACCACAACGTCCTTTAATGCGTCTTTATCCGCTCTGCTGATAATTTACTAAAGAGAATGACACTCGGGCCTAATTGAGTTGATATGGGAAACAAATTTGAGGAGTGTCAGAGCGTTTCTAAACTGTTCAAGGACATTAAAGATCGAAGCGTGACATTTAACACAGAGATTGCACCTGATGATCGCCGGCAGCCCGGGGCCACGCATTTAGACGCATCAATCACAAGCGCTGACAGCTGCAACAATAACTGGGTGGGTTATAGATGCACTTATAGCCGCAGATTGTTTACCCATATTGTGTACACATTTATAATTGACTTATTTATTTATTTGTAATGTTCTTCTTTTACATTTAAAGTGTCATTAGATTTGTATTTTCTCATTTTTTGATCATCTGCACTTGAAAACCAAATATTTACCACCTCAGCAATGGTTCATTATCTGTTATTATTAGTCATTTGTCGTTCCCCGGGCTATGGCCCCGGCCTCAGTGCCATCTTTCTGTGGCCGGATTCCATTAAAATTAAACGGCTCATCGGGATAACAGGCCCGCCAGGCGGTGATATGTGAGGCGGCTGAGGGCATGAAGTCCCACACAGCAGACCCGGGTCGCCCATTAGGCCGGTTAAGTAGAAGCACAGACTGACAAGTCGGCCACTAATGGAGTTCAATTATTTCCAAACTGACAGGCCAAACCAATTAATAAGCGAAGGCCCGATGGAGTTTGACAGTGCAGCTTAAAAACCCAAATCGTTCGTTTTTAATATGAAACAACCTTTATTTAATTTTTAACATAAAATGTTTTTTTTATTAAGGAGGTTACTTGTTGTAATCGGTGGTACATTTTGCAGGACTAAAATGGTACAAATGCTTGAAAAAAAGTTTTTGATGCAATGTTCAACTAAATAAATTCGTAATAAATAAATAAAAAGTGTATTTAAAAATATCGCATCCATTCAAAGCTATCCAATGCACCAGAATAATTTCAAAACATTAAAACATTTTTTTAGCTAGACACATGAAATGCAACATAAACCCAATTTAAGAATAAACGTGACCTTTTAAAAGAAAAAAATAACAGTTTTTTAATCTCACCTTCTTCTTAGGACCAAGTTCCTTGCGATCTGAAACGTACTTCCCGAGTTTGAAGATGCCCGGTACCGGTCCTATCCGGAGCCCGGTCGGGATGCTGCAGTCCGCAAATACACTGACGGTGGTGGGCGCCCGGGTGGCTTGCATGGCGTGGGGTGAGATCAGAACCATGAAGACTGATGGAGACCGAGTGAGAGAGTGCAGGAAAGGAGGAAGAGGAGGACGAAGAGAGGATGAGGACCGGCCGATATCCGCCCTCAAAGTGACGCGGTGGCGTTATGCTCTCCGGCTTTTCTAGTGATGGTGAAGGCAAGGTAGCCCCCCCCCCCCCCCCCTTTGCACACCCTCCACCCCTCTCCAGCTCAGGATGCTATAAGGTAGTTAAAAGGGGGAGACGAGGGAGTTTGCAGCAGCAGCGTGTGTGGGTGAGTGTGAGAGAGTTGGGCTCCCCAGCAGCTGTGAGGAGAGGGAAAACGGGCCTGCCTGGTCACATGGAGACTTTCCCTCCGCATAATGAATTGCTCCAAAACGGTCAAGAGGCACAAAGAGCCAGGCGACCTTCCCATCCCCAAAATCCAATTTGTCAAGGGCAGAGAAAAGAGGGAGCAGAATCAAAGGTCCAGAGCGACCATTAATCCTCAGCATGTGGCTTTGTGGCGCAGACAGTTCCGATATTTTAACTGACAAATCCACTGTATAATTTCTCCATAAATCCTCATCCTTTTCCATTCTTCCCTTTCAAACCAGGTTTTGGAAATCAGAGGCTACTTTAAATCTACTTGGCTGGCATTCTTCGGGGTTTATATACTTCAAAGCGCTTTATTCTGCCTCCTCCTTTGTGTGCGCACTTTAACAAAAGAGCAGGAAAGTTTAGAGGACTTGTTAACTTCTATTGACTCTCGGCGTGTGCCGGGTTGAGATCAGGCAGGTACTCAAAAGGAACCAGCAGAAGGAAGAGAGAAAAAAACAACTAGAGAATAACCAGCACCATCTTCCCACACCACACACTTGTGGTTTTCTTGTCTTCCTTATTCAACACGTACGTTCTGCGGGATTAATGTGATATGTTATATATTTGAGTATTATTTAACCCTTTATATTGTAGCTCAGTTTAGACATCTGTTAAGGGAATACATATTAAGGGTAACTGATAAATAATTATTTAAAAAATGTGTTCATATATAAAACACATTAGAGAAAAATCTGAAATGTGTAGAACAACATATTTAAATACATAGTTTCATTTGATAATTTACTTTAAATCCATGTTAAAGTCCCAAAGTCACTATGAATATGATTTCAATTATTAAATTGATTTATTTTACAAAACAAGAAAACGTGTCCTGTGAGAAGCCTACTGCATCTCCAAAACGTTGCTAAAAACGTGTCCCCTGCATTCAGCATGTGACAATGTTTTTATAAAAAAGTGTATGCAATTTAAAGTTTGATCTTTTCTAATCTTTATTTTGAATCTTTTAAAATGCTAAATGTGGAAATATGTGATTTTGACCTGGAGAAAATAAGCAAAAAAAGAACAGTTCACTCTACTTTTTGATGTAATACTATCAGCCCAACTTTAACCACGCTGAGATTATCATGGACATAATATCCTATAATATAAATGCATTCATTATTTCAGACAGACTCTAATGACAGGATGATCCAGTTGTTGTTTATCAACCTTCACTGGTATTAAAGGGATGTATTGTGAGGGGACTTGGAGGCAGAGGGAGTCTCCAGCATGTGGCTGTGCAGCAGGTTGTTTAATGGAGCCTTTTGATGCTGCAGTGATGAGTCTGGGCAGAACAAGAACCTGTGGGCGAGCAATTCAGAGCATGGACATGTTGACCTCTGACCTGTCCACCGTGGACAAGTAGCCTTTTAATGCCAAACATAAATGACTATTTGATTAAAAAAATCTGAAATATAAAAAAATCCTGATGTATTTTATTTAATAGGTTATTTCAAGGATGAACAAATAAATAATGAATTACATAGAGAAAAACAACACATTCCACAGTTCAGTTTAAATCAATATATTCTTTCATTTCAGTGAGAAATCTTGTTTGTTCATGAACTATATAACAAAACGCTATAAATAAACTAACATACATCAATCTCCTTCTCTCTCTCTGCAGGCTGCTCCTACTCAAAGAGGTTGAACGACACGCGAACAATCTCCTCAATGGGCGCTATGTTTGCGCCTGGCTGTGCGGAGAGGTTATTTATTAACGCCTCGCCATTTGCCGCTGGTTCCCATCCACCCCTGCTCTGCTTTAAAACCGTGCTCTTCTCCACAGTGAAATGAATTATTCTCAGAGGGAGAGGGGGGGGAGGCCCAAGACCTTTCCTTTCTGTTTGCGGAGAAGTCGCAGTGGTGAATCCCTGCTCCACGGTGCGCTCTGAGAAAAGCTCGGTGTCAGAGTGAAAGCAGAGTTGGAAGCAAATGGGATGGAACATTTAATTAAATTAAATGGCTTGACCGGCTCTATTGTTCTTTCTCCCTTTTTAAAAATAAGACACATTAATTACATGGTCGGATCTTTATCCTGGGACAATATTGCGGATTGATTCAGCAGCATTCCGCTAGTGCGCTTTTCTTAAATGAACTCTTTAATAAACGTAAATAACGACCCGAGAAGAATCGGATTTCGGGAGACGTTTTTATGGGCGGCTCTGCCTGACTCTTGCCAGCCTTTTTGGGGTTTTAACTGTCTAAACGGTGGGGCTCTGATTTAACTGGTTGGCCATTAATGAGCCATGAATATAGAGGAACAACCTGTCTGCAAAGCAACGCGGTAAATACAGAGAGCAATGCCCCACCAGGGATCTCCATTCATGCGCCGTGACTATCCTTCAGGGGTGCCAAGGGTTCACCACCACCTCTCCTGGACTGGTTTCAATGGCCTACCATTTAAGACCCCTCCGAGCTCGGAAGAAAACACATTTTTTATGTCGACCCATAAACTTTGTTTGGGTCTATTCAGAAGAGCCCAATCATTGTCCCACTTAGCAATGTGGCCTATTTCTCACAGATTCCCACGTCTTAGAAATGACTCTTGTGTTTGTCTAAAATCAATTTATTTCTCCACATGTAAGCCCACACCTTCAGCAACTCTCACATTAACTTGGTCACACGTCTTACAGGCTAATTAAAAAAAAGAAACTTAAATCCTCTCGCTTTTGGTTTTCTGGACAGGTTGAACTCTGTTGAGCCAAAGAAATAGAACTTCTTCTTATTCCTTTCAGATTTCTAAGAGAAAGGCTTTCGGACAGGCCTGTTTATCTTATTCCTCGCCTTTCTTTTCTTTATGTTATACCACCCGGGCATATTAAAGGTGTTCTACTTTGTGTGAAACCTGGGGAAAGATGCAAGCTGCACCAATGGTAGACCAGCTGCTATGATGCGGGTGGGACATTAGCGACGCGTTTGAATAGTAATTATGCTTGTATGGGACTCCCACCAGATGACATGATTGGGATTTTAACCCAGACTTATATTCAAAATCGCATTAGAGAGGAGCCGAATAAATGCCACCTGATTCAACGCTGTTCATGCGTGATTTCATTCAGAAAGTGGGCTGCACCGTTTCGGTATTCAAAGTCTCTACAAAGTTTATGCGCCGGTCTTTTTCAGGCCACATTTCCCTGACTTAAAGTCACTTTGTCTCGCATGAGGAGACGCGGATAAAGGCGTGTGAAGTCGCGTGAATTGATATGTTTCGGTGTACCTTATAAATTCATACCTTTTCTCACTCGAGCGCCTCAGAAAGAAAGTGTCACTCAGGCCGATTCTCTCTGCTGTCCAACGCATTTAGCAGGAGATCTATTTGAGAAGTTCATTCCTAGGCAAATGTATGCAGGCAGGGCTCTGCGTGAATAGAGCAGCGTGTCAGCCGACCCTAATTGGGATTTAGCCACCCAAAGCATATGCACAAAGTGACAGAGAAGCACAGGTTTCAAAGAAAGTCACAACTTTTGCCCTTCTTGGTGAATATAAGAAAGCTCTTTCCCTCGGCTCAGGGTAAAAGTGCATTTTTCTCATAGGATGGAGGTTAGTGACCCAATTGGCTTTAGTGTTATTGCAAACTAGAAGTGTGAGAAAAACCACTGTTATGGCAAAGTGCATGTTTAAAGACACGTAACCTTGACTTGCCTGTATGTTTGAACGGGGCCAGATATTTCAGCCGAAGTCATGCTTATTATCTGAACAAATACCTGAATAATGTATTGTTTCCCCCCTTTTTCGTTTATGTTTTAGACAGGCAAAATTCACAATTTAGGTTGTTTTGTAGCGGAGATTCTGCAGTAATTAAATACATTCTAGAAATATAAATAATAATACATGCCTATTTATAATAACATTACTATTATAATACATTTAATTAAAAAAGAGCATATTAAATAGAAGAAAATGTTATATCTAAGTCTGATAGGTCATATATTTGCAGATTGAAAATGTTTTGGAGAATGCTTTTTGGGGAAAAATAATGTGTTTGTATGTTTGTTTATTTGTCTGTTTATTTCACTTAATAACAAGCCTCGTTCCTTCCAATGCATAATATGTTGCACCGTAAAGACGAAGCACCATGGAGAGCTCCACATACCACGCACACGCACAAACACATAGACAAACACACACTCTCCTGCATGTCTGTTAATTGTATTGATAATATATTCCGTCCCATCACTTTGACGAGAAGTGCATTTATCTCCATGAACCTCAGCCTAAATATATAGGCTGATTTATATACATCGTTCGGGTCGGGTGCACATTAATAACTCGCTGTAACAAAATGTAATCTAATGATATGAGCGTCTCGCGGCTCCTCATTATATCGCCGATTGACAGTTCTAGGTTCAAACTAATTGTCTCCCGCGTTTCGGGTGGGATGAGCTTGTGGAAATGATGTCCGAGGCAAATATTGATTATTTTCTACATGAGGTCTGAGCATAATCATCAGACAAATTACTTATTAAGCATTGATATAAGATGATTTAATAGAGGCACATTGTCTTTAACGATAATTATGGTAATTTCTAGTCTTTATTGAATTACTTTTTTTCGTTTTAGTATCTCAAATCTTAGTGTGTAAAAATATATATTATTATTATTTTCTTTGGCAATGCAAATTACTCAGATATTCTGATATTCAGCATTTTCTTTGATAGGAACTTCTTTTAATTAACTATTAATTTGTATTTCAATATGTTCTGTCCAAAATCTTGTCCAATCATATTAAGCAATACATATTAAGCAATTTTGATCATTC